ACTACCTATCGTACCTTGAGTGTGTATGATATTCGTATGTGCATATTGTTTACTATTCTTGTAGTTTCAATTATAGATGAGTTTCGTATTTGATAGTGTACGTACATTGAAGCAAACGATAGTAGTGTACGTGTATTCTCATATATGACATAAAGTCGAAACATTTAATGCAGATATTTGATAGTGTACGTACATGAAACACGATAGTGTACGTGCGTCATAAAGCAGAAACATTTAATGCAGAGCATTAATTGCAATGGTAGCAGACGGAAAGTAGGGACTAGGTATTTTCGTCCGAAAATCTCGCCATGTGACTAATTTGTAAGCCAAAATTCACTTGTGACTTTTTAGCAATTACAAACTCAAATTGTGATTTTTTTTGTAATTGACTCAAAATTAAAAGCCTCGCTCGAGTAACTTGTAGAGGTGGCACAGCTACTTGTGCATGCAAGTGCTTCAAGGGGAAATTTCAAACCACACAAACTAACAAATCAGGAGTCATATATCCTCAAAGTCTCTAAGAGAGCAAAAAATAGAAGAGGAAGTTAAAGAAAAAAAAACATGGAAGAGAGAAAAAAGATGAGAATAATCATGTTCCCTTTACCATTTCAAGGACACTTAAACCCAACCATCCAACTCGCCGGAATATTCCACCACCGTGGCTTTTCCGTCACAATCCTCCACACCTCTTTCAACTTTCCCGATCCTTCTCACTACCCTAACTTCACTTTCCGAACCATACATCACAACAACGAAGGAGAAGACCAAGACCCTTTGTCTCAACCAGAGGGTCCGAGCATGGACCTCGTGGCCTTCGTTCATCAGCTGAAACTAAGTTACGAGGAACCGTTTCGTGAGTCTCTTGCGGCGGAAGTAAGCAGAGGAGATACGTTGTGTTGTTTGGTCTCCGACGTTGTTTGGGGGAGCAGCACGAAGGTTGCGGCGGAAGAAGTTGGGATTCAAAGGTTGGTATTGATCACAAGTGGTACGGCGTCGTTTTGTGCTTATGCCGCTTACCCTCTCCTTGTAGATAAGGATTATCTCCCTATAAAAGGTAAATAGTGTATGTACAAAACTTACCTTTCAAGTTCAATTTTTTTTTTTTTTTTGGACAACGTTCAATTTTTATATATTTTATTTAAATCATAGCTTAAAACAGGTAAATAGTGTGACCAAACATTCATTTGGATCAAACACGCTACTATTACCTACCTACTATAAAACATGTA